AAGTCAAAAGTTACATATGGATTTTTGACTGTGTAGGTGTTGGCGTCCCTAACCCCCATGTTGTTCAAGAGTCAACTGTGTGTGTCATAATAGTGTATCATAATAGTGAAAGTTCTGCTATTTCTAAGGATTTACAGTAAACATTTTCAGGAGAGAGATTTTTTTCTCAGACTTGAGAAATGACTAGAAAAGACTCCAAAAAGAAAAAGTCTTTCTTCATTAAAAAACAAAAACAACCCATGACCTACAATTAAGCGATACAATCTACTAAGCAGTTGTATTATGCATGTGTTTTCTCTTGTTAGAAATGATCTAGCTTAGGGGCACCCAGGTGGCTCAATCGGTTAAGCATCTGCCTTCGGCTCAGGTCATGATCCCTGGGTCCTGGGATCGAGCCCCACGTTGGGCTTCCTGATGGCTGGAGTCTGCTTCTCTCGCTCTTTCTCTACCTCTGCCTCTCCCCACCACTTGTCCTCTCTCTCTCTCTCAAATAAATAAAATCTTTTAAAAAAGAAAAAAAGAAAGAATAGAAATGATCCAGCTTAGAAGTCTGAGATACAAAACAAAAAGAAACAAACAAACAAAAAAAAGCAAAAGGCAAATGTGAGGACACTGACAGGGAATAAGAACTCAGGTGATAGCTCCTGGGTCCCCAGATTAGTAATAGAAATAGGAAAAGGTAATGAACAATGCAATTAGGTCCCGAACGGAGCTCCGTCTTTCTGTTATGAAGACAGGGCTATGCAAAGGGCTACCAGCCCTTCTGATGGCTGAAATGCCTTTGAGTATCGTGGCCCTAATTTTGATTGGCTAATAAAGTCAACAACATTCCACCAGCAAAAAGAAAAAGTTTATGTTTCTCAGCTTATATGCTCGGTATCAGTTTTCTAAATTAACAGAATTTTATCCCAATAAAGTTTATAACAAGCACTAGTTCTGTACATACAACATTTTCCTCCTACAATGGACCTGTCTTCTCCATCTCAATAAATGGCTCAACCATCCACCCAGTTACTTAAACCAAGAAGTTACAGTCGAATTCCTTTTTCCATCGCCCCCATGTCTAACCCACCATAAGTCCCATCAGCTCTGCCTCCAGAATCCATCCCATACCTAAGGACTCTTCTCTAATTCTCACCACCACCCTTCCCCAAGCTACTGCCACCGTCCCTCACTCAACTACTGCATGTTCCTGGTGTCCCCTCTACTCCATTACCCAGAGATCAGGCTGAGCAATCCAGGTAAAATGTGTTCTTCCGGGGCACCTGGGTGGCTCAGTCGGTTAAGCATCTGCCTTTGGCTCAGGTCATGACCCCTGAGTCCTGGGATAGAGCCCCGCATTGGGCTCCCTGCTCAGTGGGGAGGCTGCTTCTCCCTCTCCCTCTGCCTGCCTCTCTGCCTACGTGTGCACTCTATCTCTCTCTCTGTCAAATAAATAAATAAATCTTTATAAATAAATAAATAAATAAAATATGTTCTACCCCCACACAAAACCTTCCAAAAGCTACTTTAAAAAAAATTCTGTTTTCCTTCATGGCTTTCAAGACCCGGCATGTTCCAACCCCAAGTCCTTTTTGCTCTCAACTCATGACATTTCGGCTGCACAGGCACTCAGGCCATGCCGTGCTTTCGTCATGCCGACGCTCCCCCACCCCCAGCCCTTTGTGCTTGCCCGGTAAGCTTCCTGGAATGAGCTTCCCTCAACCTCCCATCCTGGACGCGCCCCCTCCACCCCCACTGACCCTATCATGCTACTAGGGTTTGCTTCCTTTACAGCATTTATTAGGATCTGACATAAACTCACGGCCGATGCTTCTATTTGTTGTTGTTCTAGTTTCAGTTTTTGTTGTTGGTGTTCGGTTTTTGGTTTTTGTGTGTCTCTCCCCACTGTGATAAGGATAGAATTTTCAGGAGAACAGAAATCTTATTTCTCAAAAAAAAAAAAAAAAAAGAGGAAAGAAGTCTCATTTCTCTTCCTCACTAATCTGTCTCTGGAGCCTATAGAACGTATTTGCTCAGCATCCGGGAATGAACGAACATTATCATTCAAAGTTCTTTGCCTTTTCAGGTTCTTGAAACTTTCACCACGTTAAAAAAATGAAGAGAAAAATGTCAAGTCCTTTCCTATTCTCTATACATTTCTAAAGCAAAATGTTAGGCCCTAAAAATGTACAGCATGGGACTGAAAAGGGTTGACTAAAGAAGGCTAATCCATAAACCGCATCAGTGAGACCCATAAATCAAAACTCTTTATGCTTTAATTACGTGTGTAAATGGAGAGGGGAGGGGCGCCTGGTGGCTCAGAGGGTTGAGCCTCTGCCTTTGGCTCAGGTCGTGATCTCAGGGTCCTAGGATCGAGCCCCGCATCGGGCTCTCTGCTCAGCAGGGAGCCTGCTTCCCCCTCTCTCTGCCTGCCTCTCTGCCTACTTGTGATCTCTGTCAAATAAATAAATAAAATCTTTAAAAAAAAAATGGAGAGAGGAGAAGGGGGAGGGAATGAGATGCTCTTAGAGAAGGGAACAAAGTTGGGGGTGGGAAGAGTGCCAGTTATGAATTTATTCCCACATGGTGTTATGTCTCGAAGGCAACTGTCCTCAAGAGAATTGTTGGTTAGAAATGATCCCAACAACAATTTTCTGGAAATCAGCAGAGAGATTAATTATCAGAAACTTCTCTCCACACAGACAAGTTCATTTCTCCTCGTTCCTCCACTAATACCTCAGTCTACAGAACTCCTTGTCTTGCTACCCACCTCTCTGCGTTTTGAAGAAAATCCTTGTCCATGCAAGGAGCAAATGCACAGTTCTGTGACTGACCTGCTACCGAACTATATGGAAAGACATTTCTCACTAGAGCGCCTTTAATTTCATATCTGTGTTGTCTTTAGTTTGGCAGGGGGAGTAGAGACGTATCACAGAGCCAACGAAGAAAGTAAGGAGAAAATGCAATTCCATAAAGTTGGGGGAAGCAAATTCCCCATTATAAGGAAACTTCTTCCTACCATATTAAGGGATTTTCTCTGTTGTTTCCTTTTCCCTCTCCATGCCACACTCAAGGGTCCTCCAAATAGACAATGATGGGAGGAGTTACTGCTCTAATACAGGGATGCAGGGAAGGTGGGAGATAAGAAGGTTGGTGATTAAGGGGCACCTGGGTGGCTCAGTGGGTTAAGCCTCTGCCTTCGGCTCGGGTCATGGTCTAGGGTCCTGGGATTGAGCACCGCATCGGGCTCTCTGCTCAGCAGGGAGCCTGCTTCCCCCCTCTCTCTGTCTGCCTCTGCCTACTTGTAATCTCTGCCTGTCATATAAATAAATAAATAAATCTTTTTTTTAAAAAGTTGCTTGGTGATTAAAAAAAGGTATAGAATTACCCTATCCTTTTCAGTTTATTTCAATTTCACATTTTTTGAATGATAAGACTGTTCACTTCTAAACTTTAAGAGGGGAAAATGCAGTCAACTTGGGAATAGTTTCAATCAAAAGACAAGCTTTAGACAAAGCCAGGGTTTGCCTTTCTCTATAACATGTTGATTGTAATTCCAACTTGTAAATTGATATATTTTCTAGAACACAGCTGTACAAGACAGCCCACCACAGTCCACAGATTCTGTCTCTGTAATAACACACACCTCTCACCAAAAAAGGGAGGGAGGGAATTTTAATTATCCAATTCTTCTTATAGAAGAAAAAGCTCTACCTAGCATAATTAACTAGAATGTCATTGAAAAAATAATTAAATAAAAAGATCTCAAGAAGGACATTTCACAAGTCACGGCACACCCTGAGGAATCTTCTTCCACATGGGAAGTATTAAGAAGGTCTCACAACATTTTATGTGATTAATTTTCCTAATACTGAAGGGCGATCAAGGAAAAACAGAGGTTATAATGTACGAAGAAGAGAAAGAAGAAATACAGGACATGTAGACATTTTATTGTTGACGATCACATCCTGATCTCAGTCGGGGTCCATTTTCATTGTCTGTCAAAACTCGCCATCGTCTCACTCACTGGTCAACAGCATGTACACGAAGGCGCAGAAGGGAATACACGGTTGGAAGCAAAGAACAAGGGTAACCCACAGATGAGAACCCATTACTCTGCCTCAACAGCCCTGGGCTCCACACAAGTAAGCCAACTAGACCTTCATTTTCTTACGAGAAAATCATAGAGGTGAATTCTCACATACCTGGATCTGAGGCGCATACTCCATAAAACTACCATGTCACACAAGCACCACGTACCTGAGAAAGGTTAGCAACACCCTGGCTTGAAAATGACAATCCAGCTGTCCTGATATTCATTAGGAATTACGAACACGCCTTCTGGATTACTGTGGGGCGGTATTAATTCTCTTGGTGAATGGGAGCTGGGGAGAGCCGACAAAGCTGCTTCATTCCAACGGTTAGTACAGATGAGCTATGAACGCACTGAAACAGTGTTCTAGGCATCCATGGAAACCTGCAGCCCCCTGGGAACAAAGCTCTGGCCCTAAGGTATTGCTTCCGAAGTAGCATCCTCAACCAGCTAAACCAGTAGTCCTAAAGGACTCAGAACCACCTTAAAATCATCACCAATTAGAGCAGGCTGGAAAACTGTCCAAAGTGGCCATCTGTTAAGAAAAGGTTTAGCCGGGGCGCCTGGGTGGCTCAGTGGGTTAAGCCTCTGCCTTCGGCTCGGGTCATGATCTCAGGGTCCTGGGATCGAGCCCCACATCGGGCTCTCTGCTCAGTGGAGAGCCTGCTTCCCCCTCTCTCTCCGCCTGCCTCTCTGCCTCCTTGTGATCTCTGTCTGTCAAATAAATAAATAAAATCTTTAAAAAAAAAAAAAAAAAGGTTTAGCCAATATACCTAAGATTACTGTAGTCAAGAAGGAAAGCATGGAGACAGACAGTGGCTGAGGGGAGGATGGCTTGCATCACACGCTGGTTTTTAAGTTACAGGGTGACTGGGCAGACACACATCACATTTTGACTGCCATCTGCCTCAGGGTTCCTACTTACATCAAACGGAGCTGAACTGGACTGAGCGTTCCGATCACACGGTTCCCGGAAGCAGTCACTGAAGGGAAGTAGGAGACCCATGGCAATGATCCGGGAGCAAAACTTCTCGGCTTCCTCTGGAGGCCCGTTCTCCTGCTGGCTGAAGAGCTTCTCCAGCAGAGTCCGCCCTGCAGATGAAACAGTCATTAGGAAGGAGCACTGGCAAGTCACCTGGCTCAGAACCCTCCCGGGGGAGGGAGGCCTGGAAAACACAGCCCCGGAGCATCACCGTTGCCAAGGCTACAGAGGGGCACAGACAGCAGCTTCTCAGTCACAGAGAAGACTCTGCAGTCGGAGGCCAGGGTTTCCCCATGGGAAAAGGCAGCTTGAGTTTCCTGTCCCATCCCCCAAAACATCCTCTGCCCCCAAAGAGGATGATCATGGGATGGGCTGCACATTTTCGCCCTGAAGAAGGACCCAGCCTTTTGGATCTCACTGGTAACCCTGCTTCCTCTCTGTTTACACTGCTGATGGTTCTCTGAGGGGCAGTTACCAACCACCACGTGGGCTAAGAAATGTCAGTGACTGATATTCACAGTCTCTGGCATGGCAATGGGCCGGGGGCGGGGGGAGGTGCCAGGGAACAAGAGAGGAGGAGGCAGGCAAAGGTCCCAACCCCTGAGGAAAGGGTTGTCAGCCAATTTGTCACCCTGAAGAGGAACGTGACAGGCTTAAAATCTCACATACTCCTCAGAATCATATCTCTACAGTAGGTGCAAACTTCAGTTTTTATTTCCCGAATAGAGACACAAGAACAGATGCACGAGAGGAGGCCACTGGCTGAGGACCCCAGAGGGCCCGGGTCTACCTCATGCCATGGTTCTCAATCCTAGTTGGACCTTAGAGTCATCTGGGACAACAGAATGACCAGAAGTCCCTAATTCATTTCTGATACGAATTGCTCTCTAATATATTATCCTTTAGAAATTGATTTAGCGGATTTCTCCATTAGTCAACTCCGGTAGAAGAAATGGAAAATCTCTAGGGTTCCTTTCAGGGGCACAACTGCTCCCTCAGCTTTTGCCCTGTTCCTGCCCCTAATTCTAATTAGTGGATTCATTCTTCAAAGATAGATTAAATCACTTATCCAGAAAAGACTCCAGTGACCCCCTTCCATACTCTTTTGGCGCCCTTCTTCATACCTTGTGCAACTAATGATTTTAATTAATCATGTGCATACTTATTTGTTTAATATCTACACCTCTTGGGGCACCCAGGTAGCTCAGTCAGTTAAGTGTCTGTCTTCGGCTCAGGTCATGATCCCAGAGGGTCCTAGACTGGAGGCCCTTGTGGTCTTGGGCTCCTGGATGAGCGGGGAGCCTGCTTCTGCCTCTCCCTCTGCTCCTCCCACCACTCGCACTGGCATTCTCTCTCTCTCAAAATAAAATCTTTTAAAAAAAAAAAACCTACACCTCCTCCTAAAATAAACTCTCTGACAGCCAGCATATATCCTGCAAATGTGGCCTCTCACACCTAAGAAGTATCCATCAATATATTTAGGGTTTCGGGATAAACGCGACGCTAGGGTTCTATGACCAAGACTCATTCACATCATGGTTGGAACGAGAAAGAAGATACATCTATACCAGAGATCAGCAAGCTTTTTCTACAAAGGGCCAAACAGTAAATCGTTTAGGCTTTGAGGGCCTTGTAAGGTCTCTGTAGCACATTCTTCGTTTTTGTTTGAATCGCTTTCCCAATGTGAGAAGCATTCTTAGCCTGGGGCCCTGTAAACCAGGCCCAGGTCTGGACTCCAGTTAGAACAACTGAATTTCAAATGCACAAACGCCTGCAAGGATCCTGGTCAGGCAATATTCATGCCTTTTCCTATTTTTGTTTGTACAACAAAACTCAATTCAAGACCTGCCTCTGATATGTGGGATAACGAAGCACAGCATAAGAGGCCTTTTTACATTCTTCATTCTTTTGGGTCACTAGAGAATATTCTTTGGTCTCCCAGGATATTTTCTGGAGAGATATAAAGGATTTTTCTTCTACAGAACTTAAGTTTCCCTGCATGTAGCTAGAACCAAGTACTAAGGAAACCCCACCCCTCAACTGTCAAGTGATGAATTACCGGGACAGTACCCATCTTACACATCTTATGACTGAAAATAGCCAGAAAACTAAGTTCTTCTTTCCTGTAACTCAGAAGGGGAGACAAGATCTTCCATGTGTGAGAGTATCTGAGTGTGAGCTAGTAAGTGTGTGTGTGTGTTTGTGTGTGTGTCTATCAAGCCAAAAAATGTCAGAAAGGGACATGGAATTATGAATTATGTAGGAAGAAAGCACAACCTTCCGGGAACTTCCGGGAACTTCAGCTCTATGATGAACAGATGCCCCTCAATCCTTCCTCCAGGACTTCCCAACCGCAACTCCACTGCTGCCTCGGGATGGGGAATTCTGTGTGTCCTGAGCCCTGTAGGATGTTAGCAGCATCACTGCACGTTACACACTAGATGTCGGCGCACAACCACTACTCTTCCCATTGTACGAGCCTACGTCTCTCCAGACATTGCCAACTGTCCCCCACTCGAGAATCCCTGCCTCGACCTCTCCGAAGAGAACCTCACCTGCTCACACGGACAGTAACTCGCTGCCTTCAGTCCCCCTCTAGCAGCCTTCTGCATGGACACGTTGTGTGTCAAATCCCACATACACTGGGGGTAGGAAGTGCGTGAGTGATTTCCTTGATCCCCTGAGCACTTTCAAATGGTTTATTCTCCTTCAAAACCATCCAATCTTTGTCATTTCTGCCGCTGCCTAGACCACCGGTCATCCTTCTCCTTTCTGCCATCCACTAACTTCCTGTCACTCCCGATCCCCTCCCTGACACTCACGGAACAGCCTTCCTTCTGGCTCGGCCGCTGTGTTTTTGGCCCTTCCTCCTACCAGTGATTCTGACATCCACATGGAGATCAAACCTACATCCGGGGAAATACCTCACCTGAGATCTTGAATCCTTGCGTGCAGTCAGTTTCTTCACCCACACAAGCAACCCATTCTGAAGACCACGTTCAACCTTTACTCTAGCCCTCGATGGCTTTCCGCCACCCTCAGAGCAAAACTCAGCTCCTCACCACAACTCAAGCCCCCACCTCGCCCGCCCCCCCCCCCCCCCCCCCCGCCTCTTGTCAGCTCTTTCTGCTCTCCCTGAAGGTGGTCTCACCTACTGGCCTCCTCCTCCTCAACACACAAAGGTCATGCTCACCTCAGAGCCTTTGGTACTAGAACATTCTTCTCAAGATACTTGAATGACTCACTCTTTCATCTCATTCAGTCCACTGCTCATTTGTCTCTTCCACTGAGAGAACGTCTGGACCCCCCTTCCTCAAAGAGCACACCAGTAACTCTTTTTCCCATTATTCTGCTTTATTCCTCAGTGATCCCAGCCCTTGAACTTATGTGAGTCTGTGGTCTGTGTCCTTCTTACGTAAGGTGCACTCCATGTCAGACTCCAGTGTTTGGTTACCATCTTCTACCCAGTACTCCAAGAAAGGCCTGACACAATATAGTTGATCAATTAATGTTTTGATAAAAAATGAATCAATATGCATACAAATATCTGGGAGGAAAACCTAGTCCTTCACTACAACCTTCTATCCTTTCAGCTCATATTCTAGAACCCCCTCTGAAGCTCCACTGTCCACAAGGATCTTGAGTCAGTCATCCCTGCCACTGTCACACAATCCATCACTCCCTTCCTCACCTGCCTAAATTTCATTTCCCATCGCTGCAATCACATGCCTCAAACTCTCCAGCTCCCCCGCCCCTCTCTCCCACCATGGTAGCCTGGGAAAACCCCAAAACCCCAAATCGTTACATTCTAGACACCGACCTTTTCTTTGCCTCCACCAGAGCAACTGAACACTATGAAGGAAAGACACATTGCCTGTGTCTTTCACTTTAAGACTCATTGCCTGTTTTCACTTTAAGATCTCGACTAGAAACCTCAGTTAGGCCCAACATTGCTCTGTATTCTCATAGAAGCATATAGTCTCCAGTACAACTTTATACATTTTCTCCCCCATTAGCCCAGTCTCTCCAATGATGAGATATAATGATCTTCTCAAATAATGTATTGAGAGAATGGAGAAAAGCAAGATATACTGCAAATATGCAAAAACACCCACACTGACACCCTTCTCTGCCTTCCTCCTTACACAGGAAGCAGGCCTGCTCCAAACAAGAACAAGTTCCTCCCCTCATTGTTCTAGTAGAGTTTCTTGTGACGTGGTCAGGATTTTACTTCTTTACTCCCTCTCTCTCCTGATTCAGGAACATTTCCTTCTTTACTGGACATTTCTAGCATCACACAAATGTGTTTAAAAAAAAAAAAGAAAAGAAAAGAAAAGAAAACCTCCCTTAGCCCACATCACTCCTTACCCCCAGCTACTGTCCCATTTCTTGATTTCCTTTCACACCAAAACTACAGACCAGAATTACCTACACTTGTTACCTCTAGCCCCTCACTTTGAGCAGTCTAATTTGCAAATCTAATTTGACCTCCATCCCCACAATGCAATAGAAACCGGTAGCCAACACTGTATCAATAACATCCGTCTCCATCTTATTCAATTTCTTAGTCTCTCAGGAAATTTCCGTTGTTGACTGACTCTTCCTCCTTAGAACACTCTGCTGTCACCTCTCTGACACCACCCTGCACTTTCTCTCCTTCACCCGCCACTGTCTCTCCAGTCCCCTCTACTGCTGTCTCAACTCAACATGTCAATGTATGAGGGAGTGCTTCCTGGTTAATTCTATGCTTATTCTCTCAAATCTTCCTGTATTTCCGATAATCTCACCCAGGCCATACACACTCCGCTCCTTGAAACCAGACAGATTTCTGTCTCTGCATCAGCTGAGTAGGTCAGTGTGACATCATACATGGACAGAATGGAGGAGGCAGCTAAGTGAGATCCTGAACTGGGAGGACTGGGAGAAAAAAATGAGAATTCAAAGAACCACCATGTGGGCAAGGAGTTTGTCAATTTTTTTTCTTCAACCTGGACTCAAGGCAAGCTGAAACCCAGAAAGTGGAAAGAGCATTACAGGAAGAGCTTGAAGGGGCAACTCTGCAATGCGTGTCCTGATCTTTAAAAAGATCACCCCTCCATGGGGCGCCTGG